TAAACAGGTAGCTACTTTTCAAGACACGGCCTGTGCTGGTGTGGCTAACACCGTCAGCTCGAGCTCGGGTCAACACTCGAAAATGAGCCTTGGGTCGAGCCTTACTAGGTGTTATAGAGCTAGATTTAAAAAATAAATAAACAAATAAAATCGATTGATTTGACAAATCTATCAAAATCACGTGATTTAAGATTCTTGGCATATCTTCATGGATGAAAAAAGTTGTAATTTACCTAATCCTCATAGTACCAAACATGTGTTACCTAAAAAATTTTGTCAAATAATCTAATGATATGATTATCCTCTGATCAACCCTTGTCAAATCAACACTATTACTTACAAGACTAATTGCCCCAACTTAGAGAAACAAAACGTGTAAATTTCATCAAACCTTGATCATATAATTCTTAATGCTGTTCACCAAAAACAAAAAGAAAGATTAGAAAGATCACTTTCTTAAATTATTGTACTTTTGAAGCTCTTGCATTTTGAAAATGATAATGACGAAGATACTAGCGCTACTTTTTTCCTTTTTCTTTTTTCTTTTTAGAAAAATAAAAATAAATTAGAAAGATCTCTATGTTAAATAATTTTTAAGACTTTACCCCAGACTACTAAGATAGGTTCAACCTCGATCTAAACTTTCGAATATCCAAAACAATGACTTTGAAATGTGACCTTATCGCACATTCGAGTCTTGTGTTAGTTCACGTCGAGAGAATATATGTTAGATGCCATAAGCTGAATAACGTAAAGTGTACCTTAATAATAAACCTAAATCATGTATTTATAGTACTTTTAGGTGCAATCCTAAAAGGATTAGGACATTGTAACACCTCGTGCATCTAATAATTCAAGACTCCTATTAGACTTCAGGAGTTCCAATGTAATTGAGGTAAAAGTTTAAGCGAGTTGTGTTTGCTTAACTGAGATATAATAGGGCTCCAAATTCTTAGTGGATCACGATAGGTAGTGATTCAAACCTCAAGCTTGAAGTTACAAGTTGACCTTGAGGTTATATCTAGATCTCGAATATGATCTCGAGGTTGTACTTTGAGTTTCATTGATATGGTTGTGTCAAATTGCGAACTTTGTTAGAGATGCACGAGGTTGGGGCAAGAGTTAGGACATTAAGCATATTGAATTGAAGATTGAGTTTGGGATGGCCAATTTTTACCTTATCCATTACATTTTTTTTCATAGATAAAAAATAACTCATATTCTTTAAATTAAATGGTATAATATATTCTGACGTTTAACATAAATCTTTACCTTTCCTTGGTTAGGAACGACAACGGAATGGGCTCAAGACATGGACCACATTCCCTAGCCTGTTAGCCGAGGATTTCCTCGTCGCATCCCCGCTTAAGCAAGAACGATCCTGATCCGTGTATGTATTTTTCTCTTCTTTTTATTCATGAATAAGATGTTTTCAATATGAATATGATGCAAAGTTTGAAACTTTTTTGTAAAAAAAAAAAATTATTTTTAAAAATAACTTAAATGGAGTAGGGACCATGAACCCATTCCCGACTAGAGGCATCCGGTTCGGTTGGGGGTTCCGGCATCGAGCGGGGTGGGTCTCCTCCTGAATCCGGTAAATTGTTGTTTTCATTTTATTGGATATCTAATTTTTTTACATTTAAATAATAATAATAATAATAATAATAATAATAAAGTTTTCTGTGTCAACTGTTTAAGAACTGAACCATTATTTTTAACTTTACTCGAACTAAAATTTAAATTTAAAGAACTACTCAAAGTCAAGCATAGATTAAAAAAAAGTCGTTTGGTTTGACAATTTTTTCAAAATCATATCTTCAAGAACGACAAAAGTTGAAACTTACCGAATCCTCATATTATCAAACTTGAATGTTAAGTTTACGTTGTCAAATACATCTAACCACATGATTTTCTTCGGATAAACACTCGTCAAATCACGAGCCTAATTGCGTGATTAAGTTCGTAATTGGAAAGATAATCTTTAATACAAGTAATGGACTGAAGAAACATGAGATCTTGGTCAATTTGTGTAGGCCTGCCAAAATGTGGAAAAAAATGAAGTCCAAAGTTAGGAAACCAAAACGTGTGAATTTAACCAAACTTTAATTTAAAATATCGGTATAAAACTATAGGAAGATAGTATAAATTAACCTAATTGTTTGAAATTAACAAGTTGGGTTGTTAGGAATTTTATGTCAATTTTGATTAAAACCATGTTTGAGCCTCGTTGTTTGTTGAAAATGAGTTCTGTAATACTGAATTTTTGGTGAATGTACAGTTAAAAAATAGGAAAAAAATAAATTTACATGTAAAATATTTTATTAGGAGAATGTATTATTGAAAATGAATTCTATATTAAAATAAAATAAAATTAGAGCCCTGTTTGAAAGCGATTTTGAGAATTGATTTTCTGATCGTTAGGAGAAAGTAGGGCCACTTGTGAGAAAAGAAGTCAAACTTTACGATTAAAATAGTAAAATAACGATCAAAAAATTAATTTTTTGAGGTGAAAAATCACTCTCAAACAAGCTGTAGATAATGTGGTCTAAACGATAGCTAAATTCTCCCCTCTCACGAATAACGCAAAATTGAATTAGGTTGGCAATAAGTGCTTGACACCTATATTTGAGGATAACATAACCAATTTGACTTTTACGAGGCACAGACCTTTTGAAAATATAAGAAAGGCGTGCAAAACGAACATTAGTAACATGTCGGTTCTAGAATCCAGCCAATAATTTAGTAAAGTCTATATGCATAATCAAATTTCCACAATAACGGAACCAACTTTTTTTTTTTTTTTTTTTTTAACGAGGTGTCCCAGCTTGCGCCAGACTATATCCTCGTCCCTGAACCTCCGGCCCCTCAGCTGCTCAGGGAGGTAAATAATAATGGAACGAACTTGATTTAATGTGAAGTCAAGCAAGTATATTTTGAAAATTTTAACTTAAATAATAACTTCAAACATTTAGTCCTGTTTGACGATCATTAAATGGGAAAAATCATGTTTTGAATAGTGATTTTTAGAAAAATTTGTAATTTAAAAAAAAATGAATTTACGTGCAAAATGTTTTATTGTATAAATGTGTGCAATTTAAATTTAAAAACATACAAATAAATTAAAGTATATATATATATATAATATTAAAATTTTAGAAAATTACTATTTTCATACACGTCAAATTCCAATATTGTCGTTATTAAATTTATTCATTTAAACATTATAAATTCATACAAATTTTATATATTCATCCCATTATAAATACATTCCTAATACAATTTCAAAAATTTTAAAAATATTACATTCGTCCGATCACTATCAACATTTAATTTGGTTCTTACTTTTCATTTTTTTATATTGTCATATCGTTGCTTTAATATTTAGTTATAAATGTTAGTAAATCTCTTTCTCAAATTTATAGGATTCTATCAAGCGTATGCCACTCAAGCAACCAAACAAATCCTTCCTAAAATCATATGTTAATCAATTTTATTATTATTTTTTCCCCCCTTTTTAGCTCATAAGCTCGAACCCAATAAGTAGTGTTTCCAGACCCGACAACGAATTACTGCCAATAGATCATTTTCTTGTGCTGTGTGTCTTTGCATCCATGGCTGAATGGTTAGCGGGGATTCTCGTACATGGTGAATAACAAAATCCAATTAAAATGAAATATTTAGGATAAATCAATGCAATTTAGGAGGAATTAATGAAGGGTGACCCTGGGCCGGATCTATTTCATCGATTGTGTGCTTGACGTCCAATCCTTCGGTTGTTTGTATTTCGATTGATAATTTTAAGTTTGTTTCTTTTTGTGATGTAAGAATATTTGGACAAGTATTGAAATTTATTTTGAAATTTCTCGTATATTTCATCTGTCAAACCAATACAAAAAAACATAAAAACTAATATTCAATTTTCATATCATGAAAGAATTATAATTCTAATAATGTGTTGATTTTTTTTTTTTAAATTTCCGTTCAAGAGGATATTTTATGATTAGGGTTTTATGATTTTAGATGAAGATGTTATTTTTTTATTCAAAAGTTTAGTTAAATACAAACTCTAAAAAAATGTATAAAAATAAATATTAATGGATGACGTTAGAACAATATATATATTTTTTAATTTTATATATGTCTATTTAGGTAAATTTGTACAAGATAAAAATATAATATAATTATATTTCTAAAAGTGGATGTATATATAAAAACTGTGGATGTAAATAGCGATACTCTTTTTATTTCTCGCGTTATATTTTAATTGCATTTAAAGTTCTTAATCTTCACTTATTATAACATTTATATTCCTATCGATTTTTCATGTCATTTTTATTCTCAAAGTTTTGATTAGTTTACACATTTTACATTTGATAACAAATTTAATATCCAAAAGTCTGTCGAAATGGCGTAAAAATCTTATCTTCCCATCATATTTTTTAAAAAATGAATAAATAAAAGAGTGCAAAAAAATATGTTTTATCTCATTTTGAAGCATGAAAACAAAATATTTTGATATAAATTTTCATCAATGATAAGATATATTAGTTAATGGAAGCTTAAAGATAAGAATTCGACGAAAAAAAGTTAAGAAAATAATTGTTATATTGAGCAAAGATTGAGGAGTTTAACTCTAATTAAAATATGATATAACAAAAAAAATTGTGATGCCAATATATCACCTGTCATGTGCATGTCATACGTAGAACAACTGCCATAAATGATTGCGAATAAGATTATTCTTTAAAAAAAAAAAAAAGGGATTGCACAAAGTGAATTTTTCTGAACTTTAAATCACGCATATAGCGCTGTTGTGGGCTTCAAGCCCAATAAATACAGAACAAAATGGCCCACTAATTAATAACCCTTTACATTTTCGACTCATCACCATACTTAAGCAAAGCCCTATCGCGAGCAGCCGCTGTTGCGTCCGGTGCCCTAACCCAGAAATCCTCTCCGATAAACTCTGTTAAAGATAATTTTTTCGAATTTTTCACCTACACTACCCCATATCTCCTCATCAATTCCCTCACAGCGGCCGACTCTTCCCATTTCTCTGCGTTAGCATAAAGATTTGACAAGAGAACATAAACTGCTGGCTCATTATGTTCAGTATTTAAAAGAAATCTTGCAGCAATACTTCCCAATTCTAGATTACCATGAGCAACACAAGAACTGAATAACGTCCACCAGACACTGGGATCAATGTTGATATCCTTAATGTTAATTAGTCTCTCCGATATATCCAAAAATCCAGCTCGACTTAACAGGTCAATAACACAAGAAAAATGGTGTACTTCAGGTTCCAGACCATAAGTACGGACCATTGAGCTGAATATCCTAATGCCATCAGCAACTAAACCTGAATGGCTGCAAGCTGAAAGAACTGCAGTAAAGGTGGCTTTATCGGGTATGATTCCACCTGAATCTTGCATAGCCTCAAAGCATTCAATAGCTTCCTTGCCTCGTCCATGCTGTGCATGGGCAGATATTATTGAGTTCCAAGATATTATATCTTTTTCAATCATTGTCTGAAAAACTTTCAAGGACCAACTCAAAGCTCCGCACTTAGCATACAGAGTAACGAGTGCATTGCCCAGAGAAATTTGCGAAAAATACCCAGATGTGAGAATGTATCCGTGAAGCTGTTTTCCATGCTGTAGATCCGAAATGCTGGCACAAATGCTCAAAGCATGGCAAAGGGTGTAAACATTAGGCCTCAATCCCGATAGAAGCAATTCATAAAATTGCTGCAAACCGCATACAGGCAATCCGTTTAATTGAAACCCAGAAATTAATGTATTCCAAGAGATCAAATTCCTTTGGGACATTTCATGGAACAGTTTATTGGCTTGGTTCAGTTCCCCGAGATTAGAAAAGGCAGAAAGCAATGCATTTGAAACTTCAATTTTCAAGTTAAGTGCTTTTTTTATTACGCTAGCTTGAATCATCTCAACAACCACTAGCAGCTTGGAGCTCGCTAATAAGCTTCCAATTGTAAACTCATCGGGTTCAATGTCGTCCCTTTGCATCTGAAGGTACGCTAGGATTGCATCTTCACTCAAACTCTCTTGAGCATAGCTTGTTATAATTGCATTCCATGACACAATATCCTTCTCTTTTATTCTCATGAAAACCATGCGAGCTGCATTCAAGTCCCCACAGCTAGAATACATGGTTATTGCTGCATTACTCACAGACGTAAAGTCTTCAAAACCCATCTTAATAGCTTGGCCATGTACTTGAGTAGCAACTCTAGACAACAAACACACACTTATGACACTCACAAAAGTCAATTCTGTTGGTCTCCAACCAGAATTTTGCATATCTTTGAAAATTAACAAGACGTCGTCACCTCTTTCCATGCTTGATAGACCAGCCATCATTGCATTGTAAGTTATTTCATCTCCCAGTCCACCTCTCGTTTCCTCAAATACTCCATATGCATCTGTAATACTTCTGCAGTTAAAATACATAGTAAGTAAAGCATTAATCACTGAAGATCTTACTAAAAACCCAGTCTTCACAATCAATGAATGCACTTGCCTTCCAGAATCCAACATCTCTAAAGAACACAAACTCAAAACACTAGCAAAAGTATAATTATCATGTTTTACACCCAACACATGCATTTTCTGGAAAAGATTAAATACAACCTCATCAAGTCCATTTTCCGCGAAACCAGTTATTATCGCATTCCAAATTGCAACATTTTCTTGCGGACTTCTATCAAACATCCAAAAAGCGTACTCCGATTCACCAAGCTTCATACAAGCGGATAACAATGTGGTCCACGAATAAATATCCGGTCTTTGTATTTCATCAAAAACCATTTTGACCAACGCTATATCCCATGACTTTGCATAAAGGGAAAGCAGAGTATTTGAGACATGAGGGAATTCATTGAAGCCGGACTTGATGGCGTGGCCATGGATTTGGGAACCAACATATACATCACGAAGGTTGCTGCAGGCAGCGAGGGCAGTCGATAAGGTATAATGGTCAGGTTCCAAGTGGTAGGTAGAATGGATTTGTTGGAAGAGGTGGAGCGCATCCCAGTATTTTTGGGAGTGATTGAGGTCTTTCAGAAGGCAATTGAGCTTAAGCAGTGACTTGGTGAAAGTGCTTCTAATTTGCTGCAATTTCATGCCACAGATGAAGATTTCATCATTAACGAAATAAAATCAAACTCTAATTAAGCAACGAGCGCAGAGCAACCAAATCCGCTTTCTTGGCAATTACACAGCTTTCATTTTAGAGCATAACGTGAAAAGAGAGGGCACCGGAAGATCAGCCTTGCTTCCATGACCAGCGCAGCGAAGAAAAATTTAAACAGGGAAGAATTAATAGGAAATCATAAACCCTAACCTTGAAAAATGGCTAAGAAAAGGCTGGGCAAAAAATGGAAAAAGGGAAATATTGGAAAGCTAAAATTCAAAGAAAGTAGACCAAATTAGAATCTGGGCCAAAGCCCAACAACCACATGAAGTGTCAAAAGGACCAACAAATGTTATTGGCCCAAGAATCATCCACGTGATCCAGCAGCAGTAACCCAGTGGGCTCACAACTTGAGTTGTTAAGAATAGAGATGACAATTTATCCCGCTCCAGACTGAATGGGGCAAAAAAACCTGCCCTCGCATGAACCCACCCCATGATTTTTCTTTTTTATATTGTCTTTTCGAGTGTTTCTTTGAATATTGATGTTAATTTGAGTATTATTTGTTTTGAATTTGTATTTTATAATTTAATAGTATAACTCGAAATTTTGAAAATGTGTAAATAAAAAAAAAATTAAATGGGGGCAGTAAACGGGGCAAAAAACTACCTCGATCCGCCCCACCCTGTTTAAGGCAAGGTAGGGTGGGGCGGGGTTGGAGCACCCGTCCCACCTCGGACCCGTCCCGTTGCCATCACTAAATTATATTGACGCCCATTGACTAACATGTTGGAAATTGATTTATAAACTTCTTTTGATTGACTATTTAAGTGGAAATCGTTAGTTGGCAATGGAGATTTGAAGGTTGAACATGTACTACACTATGAATAGACCATGTTAATTTAGTTGTTCAAAATGAATTTTGGGCAAATGAGAAATTAAGGTCAAATTTAAGTCTTTTAAATATGTGAAATTGTAGGAAACTTAAGTAGAATATTATGGAATATTCTAGAATCTTGGAAGCACCGACATGTTGTCGGCGTTCAACATGTATCGGACATCGGTACATTTTCGACACGTCGCCAACCTATGTCGAAGTTCCTGGCGGCGTGTCGGAGATGAAGAAATGCATTTGGTTGAAAGAAGACGGTGATTGACTATGGTAAGAAAGACTGCAGAAGAAGAACAAAGAAAAGAAAAATGGAACCGGTGAAGAAGGAAGAAGAAAGTAGGAGCTTATGAAGAAGAACAAAAGAAGAAAGTGAAAAGAGTTGTTTGACTGAAAAATGAAAAGTTGTGGATGTATATCAATGTATTCTCACTGTTGGGCCCAATAACATTTAATGCATTTTGTAAAATTTCTTTTATAGCATAAAAAAAAAAAAAAAACACACACACACACACTCTTGAATAATGATTGATATCATTTCAATTTCACACATTTCAATAAAATAATATTACATGCAAATTCAAAATTTTTCCTTAATTTTTAACACACATTTTCCATCAATCTACTAGTTCAAAATACATTTTTTTAAAATAATATGGTTCAAACATATCCTTAATTTTTTTTTCCCAAGTTTATTCTTTAACAAAGCAACATGTAAAATTTTATGTAAATTAATTTTTTTAACCATTTCACCTACCATTAGAAAATCAAACTTATATATATGATGCAATAAACATAAAAAAATTATTACTTCGATTAGACTATTAAATTAAAATAAGTGAAAAACAATATTTTAATAGCTGTTGATAGACGCATATCGCGTCAAACACTCGTGTCTGTGTTAGTGCTTCTTAGTCTAGAACCATTCTTAGTCTTGAACTCATTTGGCTGAAAATCCTAAAGTCATATTTATTACTGTAATCTTTTTGAACATATATTTTCCATCAAGATATGTTATTTCATTGAGTTGTCTTTTGAAACACAATTTTTGGATACTCTGACCAGTTACTGAAAATTTTCATCATAGTTAACCAATAATTGTTAAGATTAAAATTATAACCAATTAAACGTGTGACAAAAGTAATCAAATAATGCGTAATAAATATAAGAAGTGCAAATTTATATCAAATTTCCAGTTCTACCGTAGGTATAGTTCATAACAATAGTTACAGGATGACAGGTTTCTTGTCCAACATTGATGGTCAAGAATTACAAACCAAACTTCTCTTAGAATTGTTTATTATTATGTGTGGGAGGAGCGGACTGCGGTAGCTAAGGATTCTCCTCTTTCAAAGTAAAGAGTTCGAAGCAAATTTGGCAAAATAACAATCTAAAGAAAGTAGAATCGAGTACGAAATGCTCATGTACTAGTTTAAAACAACGAACAAAAATAAGAAATAAAAGGAATAAACAAAATATGCATCAATATGACATGATCCTCTTGGGGCCTTTCAAAGTGCAATGGAAGTCGCCAACTTAGGACATGGGGATTCTCGGTCGTAATTGAACCTATCCAGTTGAGAGTATAACCTCAGAATGTTATGTTCAGAAATCACACAAAGAAAGCTAATTTTTAGATGATATAAAATTGATTAGAGGTAAAAATAGAAGATTTACTCCACTTTCTGTATAAGATGGCAAAAATCTGCAATCCATGACAACTTTCATTGAGGTAACAATTGTGAAAACTAATTTCCAGAAGATAACTGGTAGAGAAGAACAAGGTTGTAAATCACACAGCCAAATAGCTAGGAGTGCATGAGACAAGCAGTTATACAGGAAGAAAAATTAAAACCAAAAGTACCAAAAAAGGGAAAAAAAAAGGG